CCTCCATTCCAGGCAACATCCTGGTAAATCTCCTCTGCACCTTTTCCAATGCTTCCACATCTTTCCTGTAATGAGGCGACCAGAACTGGACACAATACTCCAGATGTGGCCGAACCAGGCTTTTGTATAACTGGAGCATAACTTCACGGCTCTTGAACTCAATCCCTCTAATAATGAAAGCTAACACACCATACGCTTTCTTAGCAACTCTATCCACCTAGGTGGCAGCTTTCAGGGAACTGTGGACACGAACCCCAAGATCCCTCTGCTCCTCCACAGTGCCAAGAATCTTTCCTTTAACCCTGTATTCAGCTTTCAAGTTTTTCCATCCAAAATGAATCACCTCACACTTTTCAGGGTTAAACTCCATCTGCCACTTCTCAGCTCAGCTCTGCATCCTATCAATGTCCCTCTGTAACCTAGAACAGCCCTCCGTACTGTCCACAACGCGACCTACCTTCGTATCGTCCGCGAACTTACTAATCCACCCTTCCACTCCTTCATCCAAATCATTTACAAAAATCACAAATAGAAGAGGACCCAGAACAGATCCTTGTGGTACACCACTTGTAACTGAGCACCATGTTGAATATTTTCCATCCACTACCATGCTTTGTCTTCTAAGGGTCAGCCAATTCTGAATCAAATCTGCCACATTTCCCCCTATCCCATGCCTCCTTACCTTCTGCGTGAGCCTACCATGGGGAACCTCATCAAACGCCTTACTTAAATCCATGTATACCACATCCACTGCTCTACCTTCATCCACGTGTTTGGTCACCTCTTCAAAAAATTCAGTAAGGTTTGTGAGGCATGATCTACCCCTCATAAATCCATGCTGACTATCACGAATCAAACTGTGCCTTTCCAAGTGACCATAAATCCTCTCTCTCGGAGCCCTTTCCAATAATTTGCCCACCATCTTGTAGATAGTACACACTACTGCTACTGAGTGTCGGTGGTGGAGGGAGTGAATGCTTGTGGGTGTAATGCCAATCAAATGGGCTGCTTTTTCCTGGATAGTGTCAATCTTCTTGAGTGTTGTTGGGGCTGCACTCATCCAGGCAAGTGGGGAATATTTCCATCACAGTCCTGACTTGTGCCTTGTAGATGGTGGACAGGTTTTGAGGAGTCAGGAGGTGAGTTACTCGCCGCAGTATTTCTAGCTTCTGGCCTGCTCTTGTAGCCATTGTGTTAATGTGGTGAGTCCAGTTGAGTTTCTAGTCAATGGTAACTCCCAGGATGTTGATAGTGGGGGATTCAGTGATGGTGACACCATTGAATGTCAAGGGGCAGTGATTAGATTGTCTCTTATTGGTGACTGTCATAGCCTGGCATTTGTGTGGCGCGAATGTCACTTGCCACTTGCCACTTGTCAGCCCAAGTTTTGATGTAATATATTTTAATGGCTTGCGAGAGGAAGAAAGTAACAGTAAAGGCTACATGACCATGATGAGCCACAATTATAAAATTGTTAATGTATTTCTCCAAACATGATTGCTTCATTTTTATATTTCCGTGTATCGCCAACATGAATAGATGCCAATCAGCGTGACTAAAGGAGGCCTAATGAGAAAATCTCTCAGCTTTTTAAAACTTGGATAATGTAGCCCACTGGGGTTCACAAGATTTGTGATTGTTATTTGGTTTTTCCCATAAAAATCAGTTCCTTCCTCTGTATGGTGCAATGAGTGGAACTGTCAACACTTGAATGTTAGACAAGTCTCTCTGTCTCATCATCTTTTACAGCAGTACTTGTCTCATCATTTTTTTAAAATATACAGCCCTTTTCATTTCCACATACATAAACCACTTACCTCTTTTAAGTCATAAATACTACACTAAGAGTTATCGCTTCTCTTCCGTTGGATTAAAACCTAAATTCCGGCAAGAAAAATCTATAAATCCAGTATTGCATGGGCTGAGGTCATACAAATTTTTCTTTCAATCTTTTTCTTTTCCTTTATCCGAACTGCCCTGTGTTAATTGGAAATAGATTGAAATGAGATGGCTTTAACGGGATGAGGCTGGTACTTAAGACGGGAGAGTGGTGTGTACCATGTGGTTTTGGGGGGAGGTAGAAAGAGGATGACCGGTAGAAAGAAAGAAAGGCTCAGCACTCAGACTGCACCATAGTTATAATTATTAGGATCTAGCATGATCCTCTCCTTTGTCGCCTCCACCCTGAGAAATAATAATAGAGCTATTAATTCATTGCAGTTTGTGCATTTAAGATACATTTTTAATGGTATTTTCAGCTTCAAAATAACAGTCTACCAGGAATGGTCCAGATCTTTCTTCAAAAACTACCCAAGGCCTGAAGAACTTTGAGAATATAGAACAAAAACAGAAGTTGCTGGAAAAGCTCAGCAGGTCTGGCAGCATCTGTGAAGAGAAATCAGTTAACATTTTGGGTCTGGTGACCCTTCCTGAGAACTGATGGTAGCTAGGAAAATGTTGGTTTATATGCAGAAGAAAGGGTGGAGGGTAAGGGGCTAAGGAGTAAACGAAAGGTGGGAATAGAGCCCAAAGGGAGAGAAGAACAGTTGGACAGACAAAGGAGTGGATACCAATCTGGCTAGGAGAGTGAATAGCTGTTAATGGAGATTGTTAGTGGCTAAGAGGAGGTAGTGTGTAATGGCAGACTACATGATAACAAGGCCTGGTGTGTCAGGTTGCACAAACTATATATCATTAGTGATTTTTAATGTTGTAATTTTTATTGCCACCACCAAAAATAGTAGTAGTACAACTGTCGTAAAACAGAATTTATTAAACTCTAAATTCTATGACCATTTCCTGCCAAACAACCGTATCCTCCAATGGAGGAACAGAACTCCCCTCTTATTTCAACACCAAACCCCAACATGGCAGAGAAAACAGTAATGTATTAATAACACATCTATTATTATTTCTCAGGTTGGAGGCAACGCAGAGAGGATCATGCCAGATCCTATGGTACAGTCAGAGAGCGCTGAGCCTTTCTTTCTTTCCACCTCCCCCTGAAACCACATGGTACACACAACCAGACCCGAAATGTTAACTCTGACTTTTCTTCACAGATGCTGCTAGACTGGCTGAGCTTTTCCAGCAAGTTCTGTTTTTGTTTCTGATTTACAGCAACTGCAGTTTTTATTAAGAATATGGAGGAATGAGCAAAAAAAATAAAGCCGCTGTTCTTTTTCTTCAGTTCATTACCCAAAGTCATGCCCAACCCACAGCACAACAACCTCCAACCATGGGTTGGGCAAGAAAGCAGGCTCCAAATCCATCCACACACAATGTGGATCAAGCCTAGCTGACAGCAATCTGACTTACAACAGCTATCGAGCAACTAGCCACCGAAGGAACCTGTGTTGCTGTGACAACATACGTTTTTACCTGTATGTTGTAGGCTACAGCTATGGATAGTGATGATAGAGGCTCTAATTTCTTTCCACCACATTGTCAAGAGTGGCAGAAATTCTAGGTCAGCAAGGATGTATATTGAAAGGATTTACAAGTTGAGACACAGGATGAGGCTTTGACTTTTTCAACTTTCGGATTTTAAGCAGACACTTCTGGTCTGGAACTTTCAAACTAAATTCCTTAATTGAGGTAATTTATTTCTTAAAAGTTCTAAACTATCCACTTTCTTAATAAGTAATTATCTTACACATCAACTTAGCCAAGACTACTGCAAAACTGAAAACAAAAAGGGCTTTCTTCAAGCTATGAGTATTTTCCCTAAACCAATTAAAAGAAAAATTTTCGGATTCTTCCAACTGAAGCCTAATGCACAACTGTGCACACGATTCACTGGTAAAGCACACCAAATTAAAACAAAATCACATTACTGTCCAGGAAGTCTCTCTCTCTCTCTCTCTCACACCCACACCGTTATTCTTAAAAGAAATCACCATGGCTACAGAAATACTTACAAGTTAATCATTACACCTGTTCAGAGACACAGACCAAACCCATAGGCTACTCATTAAAAATTCAAACTCTAAAATAAATATTAAAAATAGATAAATCACACATCTTGCATTATATTACAGAGCATTGGAAGATGGATGGAGCAAGAAATTGAAGCAGAGTTCTGGAGCGTGTAGTTGATATGGTTGTACATTGATTAGACAGCAAAGAGGTTGAGAATTTTACCCCCTTTGACTTTTACCTGGGTTTATATTAAATTTCCAAATTTTACAACGGAAAAATCCACAAGAATTTTTATCACCGAAAAGCCAGGAACCTATACAAGGTACACCCAACTGAGAGTCAGTTCTGGTATCTCTTTCCAGCACACATCTAAGGATTATAATATTACCTTCTTCAGTATGTGGAACAATACTCTTTCATACTTTCACTTTCAGAATAGGACAGGGATTAATAGAGTCATAGAGTATTACAACACAAACAGGCCCTTTGGCAGTCAATTTCGCACCTGTATTAAACAGAATATTTATACTGGATACAGCTAGCTGCAATAACTGAATGAGCACTTTCACAGATTGCTCAATAATGATAGCACAGGATTAGGTCCCTTAACAGTTCTAGTGTCCCTCATTTGAGAAAATGTGCAGAACACTGCGACCCTTTATTTGTAGAAACGCAACTAATGATGTAAACTGCATTGTAGAACATACTAGCAGCCTTATTATTCCCTTTTAATTGTTACTGGTCAGCATTTTAAAAACAACTGACTTTCTGATCATCAAAACTGGGCTGTTACATTATTCAGAAAATAAATCAATGCAGACAGTTACATTTTTTTAGAAAAATGTTTGTGCATGTCATCCTCCATCCACAATACCCTAACAATCTTCTTCTTTGATTTTGTCTTGAATCCCCTTTTAGGTTGATTCAAAACAAATTCCAAAAATGTCTATCTACAGAACATGAATTGCTGCAATTCAAGAAAACAGCTCACCACCACCTTCTTAAAGGCAAATGGGGGATGGGCAATGAAATGCTGGCCCGGTCAGCTACATGCACGAGTGAATTAAACAAATGTCAGACTTAGTTAGTTCATTTATTGTTTATGGTGTTTATAGAATTGTAATGTCTTAATCTTGGCTTACTAAGCAGCAGTACAGCATTTCCCAAAACAGAACAGAAAGAAAATTGAGTAGAACTACAGAGATAACAAGGTGTAGAGTTGTATGAACACAGCAAGCCAAGCAGCATCAGAGGAGCAGGAAAGCTGACGTTTCGGTCTGGACCCTTCTTCAGAAGTAGAACTACACCCTTGTTTGCTGGTACGGTCTTCCTACCTGGAAACATAAGGAGATTAGAAGAACTTTTAAAGAAATTTTCATATGTTACCTCATCCAATCCCACTAATTGTCTGTTTGTTAGTTAAGGAATAATGTTTGATACAAGACACTTACAAAGGGCTTTTAATGGAAGAGAAAACTATGTAATTGCGGACCAGTCAGTTTAACTTTGGTGGTTGGGAAACCTTATGAAAACAATAGCTTGGGATAAAATTAGGAGTCACTTGGAGAAGTGCAGGTTAGTTAAGGAAAGCCAGCTTGGGTTTCCCAAGGAAAAATCATGTTTGATTAACTTGCGAACATTTTCTGAAGAGGTAACAGAAAGGTTCATAATGGCAACGCTGTTCCTATGTTATAGATAGACGTTTTGAAAGCATTTGTTACAGTGCCACACAACAGACCTGTGAGCAAAGTTAGATCTAGTGGAATAAAAGGGACAGCAGCAACATGGAAACAGAATTTTGTGACAATACTGTGCCTTTAAGAAATGTGTTCTGTCCTGTTTCTTTTGCAGAGGGGTGTTGTCATAGTGGTACAAAAATGTCTCCTTCAGACAGGCAGTTGGTAAACAGTTTTGAGTTCTCCCTGGTGTTTTGTTTAAGACAAAACAATCATGAGTGGATGGGGTCAGGCTCACGCAGACCCGAAAGGGTTTTGGTTTCACTTTCAATTAGCTGGTGGTTTTACTGGCTGTTGGAGCTGAAAGCTTGAATTCTCTGCTGCTGCGGTGAAGTCTTAGACAGAAAGGTTTTTTCTTAAAAATCAAAACGGGCTGATTGTTTCTTTCTACTGGAGTGGAGAGAGACAGCACGAGAGAATAATAACCATGTTGCTGAATCGCCTTTGCCAATGGTGTGTATATGACATGCTGCCTTTATTGGAACCACAGTTGATAATCAGTGGTTAAATAATACATTATCTTTGTGAAATATTTCAATAGAGTAAAGTTATGCCAATTCTTTTTGTTGTATTTTAACTGTCTTGCAAGAATAGAGGTGTTTTGATTAAAGCTTGGTGGTGGGCCAATTGAATTATATTGGAACAGGGGCTTACACTTGCCTTTTAAAAAAATATAGAAGTTAGGGTCTAGATTATCTCCATAACATACTGTGGAGGGTCCGGTCTGCTCCATTACAATTGGCTGAGTGACAACAACAAACAGACGGTAATGGATACTGAATGACTTTTAGGCAACGGAAGGTTTGCATTGAGTTCCCCAGGAGTCAGCATTAGGACCCTTGCTTTTCCTGGTAAATATTAATGATATAGACCATGGTGTACAGGACAAAACTTCAAAATTTGCAGATGACAAGAAGACTAGAAAGTATTGTGAACAATTAGTACTGTGTAGAATTGCAGAAGAACATACACAGTTTGATGGAGTGGGCAGATAGGTGACAGATGAAGTTCAACACAAAGTGTGAGATGATACATTTTGGTAGGGGATACTGTATAAAACCAAGAGTACAACTCTCACATGAAGGCAATCATATGGTGTAGCTGTAGAGTCCCTATCTCTGAGCCAGGAGCACCAGGTTCAAGTCCAACCTGGTAAAAAGCTGGGTCACAGCTTAACTGAACAGGCTCGTTGTAAATATTTATTCTAAACAGGGCTTTTGTATCGCAGTGGTAGTTTTTCTACTTCTGATCCAGAAAACCCTAGTTCAAATCGCTCCTGCTCTAGAAGTTGCAGAGTCAAACAAAACAGACACTTTGGTCCAACTAGTCCATGCCAATCATGTTCCCAAACTAAACTAGTGCCACTTGCCTGCATTTGGCCCACATCCCTCCAAACCTTTCCTATCCATGTACTTATCCAAATGTCTTTTAAACATTGTAACTGTATCTATGTCCACTACTTCTTCTGCTAGCTCATTCCACACACTAACCACTCTGTCTGTAAAAAGGTTGCCCCTCATGTCCTTTTTAAATCTTTCTCCTCTCATCTTAAAAATATGCCCCCTAGTTTTGAACTTGCTCACCTTATGGAAAAGACCTTTGCTATTCACTTATCTAGGCTCCTCAGATTTTATGAACCTCTATAAGGTCACTCTTGAACCTCCTATGCTCCAGAGAAAGAAGTCCCAGCCAATTTTTATAACTCAATCCCTCCATTCCTAACAACATCCTGATAGATCCTTTCTAAACTTTTTCCAATTAAATAATTTCCTCCCTATAGCAGGCCAACCAGAACTGCACGCAGTACTCCAGATCAGGCCTCACCAACATCCTGTGCAATCTTGCAATGCAGCAGTTTCTGCCTTGGAGGTCAATTCTGTGGTCAACATCTGACTGGTGTAGACATGCTGACATGGCAATCTCTCCTGCATTTGCTGTGGAGGAAGATAGTGGAATGAGAAGGTGCATATTTTCTGGTCTCTGTTTTCTCTGGACTCGCTTCCAGTGCCTTTCCAAAACGAACGCAAGAATACAAGGGTCAACTTGTGAAACTGATCTGACATTTCAAGTCCGTTTTGACTCTTCTCCAGAGTGCTCAAATATCTACTGATAAAAACAGAACGAGATATCGCGATTTAAGAAGAAGCAGCTTTATGGGGTCGGGCTGAGAGACTGGCACTGCTGTCTCACAGTTCAATCCCACCCTCAGGTGATTATGTGGAGTTTGCGGTTTCCTCCCACAGCCCAAAGGTGTGCAGGTTGGCTGGACTGACCATGATAAATGTAAGGTGAAGAGGTCAGAGAAGGAGGGTAGGTCTGGGTTGGACATTCTTCAGACGGTTGGTGCAGACTCGATGGACCGAATGGCCTTCTTCTACACTGTGTGGATTCTGTGATTGGTTCAATGCGGAGAAACGGGACTCCAAACAGTTAACTCTTTTACTTTCTCCACAGATGCTGCTGGACGTACTGACTTTCCAGCGTCTTCCGTTTATATCCCACATTTATTTCTCAAACTTAGTTTTTTCCATTGAGTGTCACCCGGGAACAGCCAGTCTTCAGGCCCTTCCCCTCCACTTCCGGTCCTGGGGAAGCTGGCGGGCGGGGTTCCGGTGGGAGCGGCGCAGGCGCACTGGTGGTTCCGAGCCGCGAGCCGACAGGGACAGAGAGAGAGCGGGGCTCAGGCCTGAGCTTGGGCCTGGGGTTGGGAGGGTGGCCCGGCAGGTAGGCAGAGGTCACCATGTCTTCCAGGAGCCTGCGGAAACTGCGCGGGGAGCGGAAACAAGAGCCGCTCAATCACTTCGCCGACCAGGAGGAGGAAATAGAGAGGCCGCTGGAACCCGCAACGACTCGAAAACGACGGAGGAACAGGGCAAATAAAGCGGCAGCTGGAAACCTGCCCCAGCGGGTGAGGGACCACGGGGGAGACCTGCCCCAGCGG